GTAGTGAACAATAAATCAGGAATAGATATAAACAGAATGTTATTCAAGTAGGTGAACTATGTGAAAAATAGTTGGGGCTGATAAATACAGTTTAGTGGAAACGTACAAGATTCTGGAGATAACACAGAGTATACACACCCATCAATGTCACATAATGCTCAAGTTTACCAACTACTAATTTTTATCCTCTTCAGGATTACAGTCACATTATACTAGCTGAACAAAAGCCAGAGCTAAAATCAAAAGGTTCTTTACAAGAAATTAATAACTAACTTTGTTACAAGTCACATTAATATGAATGGTTACCAAGTACTGATGTCATTCAACATTCAATACTTACATTCTCGATACTACTACAATTAGTAGTCATTTTGACTATTTGAGATAGCTGTGGTTTGGCAGACTAGTAGGAAAACTCAGTGATGATTGAAGGTGAAATGAAAGTTTTGGAACCGCAGCCGGATTCGAACCAGCGACCACCAGGTTTCCAGCACGGTGGCTCTACCAACTCAGCTACGACATCCAATTATTGATCAGATTTTCATTTCATTTTCAATTATCACCCAGTTTCCTTCCCTACTAGTCTGCCAAACCATGGCTATTTCAGATAGTCAAACTAATAATCAACATGATGCTACCCTTCTCTAATTCAAGTAGATTTCGATTGGGATGGGAAGTTCTGACTAGGCAACCAGTATGAGTAAGATTACGTGATAGTAAGGCGTCATGAGTTCATATGGCAGTCGGTGGCCGCTGCAGCGAATCCCACAGTGGCCCAAATCTCATTCACCCTTCAATCATCACCCAGTATCATAACTATTAGTGTTAAGCAGAATGTATATTTTTGCTATGAATGATGATATTTCACAATCAGGTTTTACTCTGAGTGAAAACTGACGAAAGTGCAAAAACTGCTGTAGTAGGTGGGTACTAATCCATAGATTTCGATAAATATACACATATCGAACGCAGAACCTCAAGAAGTGAGGAAGATGAAACTTCGAACAGACTATGAGTGTATCAGTGAAATTGTGATTAGAAGTTTGAAGTCATATATTTCTAAAGGTCGCCAGCCACGAACTTCCAGTAACTTGAGGATCTCCTCTTCTCTAGATAACCTAAACTGTGTTATACGGCTGAACAAATAGTCATTATTAATCAGAACATGGTGTAACACCTGTGACATTTCAGTAATATAGTAAGTGTGTACAGGACTGAATGTACAACCTCAGTGTACACAAAAGGAAAATCCTTCCATTTCAGTTTTTTGTACTGCAACGTCTACATTTCCAAGCGACGATGACTTGATCATTATGAAACCTATGCGAAAGAAGACATCTAATCATGTTATAACTTGCACTTTTCCGTCATTCATTCAACCGGATCGATCGACCACCAAATAGCATAAGGGCTCCCTACGCGGATACCTCGATATTGTCAGTAATTTCAGGTTTATAATAATGATGGATAGTGACCAACAGTGCAATCTAGGAGGTACGTTTCATCCTGTTTGACACATCAACTGGAGTCAGTAGCCTAAGGAATAACACAATAGCGTATGAAACAGTTAGTCCCAAGTCCGAGTTTCAATAAGATCATCACCAACTAGAAAGCAGGTATATCCAGCCGGAACAGGGTGAAATCGCTAATCGCTATCCAATATTAATACATATCAATTACTTGTTTTATAGATCATGGTAAAATCACATGCAGCCAACGCTTTCAACTGAATTGTCTTAAACTAGGTTACACCCCCCTCCCCCAAACACATACATACACAACGACTAGTCACCTATTTGAAAGGTGGAATCATAACTAATCAAAATACTCAGTGACTGACTTGTTTCAAATTTACCGCCAGCAAGATATGGTGACAAACATACCACTACTACTATTAGTAGAATTAGTAGCAACAGGTGTAGACGAATATATAATATGGATTGTATTGTAAGTGAAAAATAAAAGCAAAATCGAAACCAGAATTACACTTCATCTCCTTCTTTTTTGTTATAATAAAATATTGAATCATCAATACAGAAAGTGAATAGAAATACTACTAACTTGTGAATATCATAACTGTATGCCCACCCTATTCAATTTACTCAACATACTAGAAGAGAAGGGTATGTATTTTTGAAAGAAAAAAAACAAACAACCTAGCAGATAAAAAAATATTTACACATATCAACAAGAAATTCCATTCATATAAAAACATAATAATAATAATAATGATAATAGTTGCACATTCTGTGACTACTTATAATCCAATATATGGTGAGGTGTTTCAATTTATTTATTTTTTTTTTTCTGTAGAACACAGGAAACATTTTTAGTATAAAAGTCGACAATGAAAATGAATTTTCGATCCTACAATTATCTTATGCTTATTAGATAGTTGAGATTAGCGGTTAGTGATAGAAACACACACACACACACACACACACACACACACACAACCTAATTAGCTTTTAAATCTGATGATAAACACCATAAGAAAATAGCTTAATACTCGATGCCAAATAATGAGATATACGAATGTTTCTTCGTGGATGACAGTGAAACTATTTCATATATTCAGGAAGTAAGATCAACTTTCAAGGATAATCAGTGATCGATGACATCTTGTTACACATATCGAAAGTCCTGACTGCATTTAACAAATCTCATCATTTATCGTATCAGTCAGAAATCCCGATGTTTTCTAAGGGTTCGCTCCCCTCTACTCTATCACTATGATACATGATCATTAATGATGAAGGATATGAGAAGGCTTTAGATGTTCAATTAGCTATGTCTTCGTAGAATTCATCGTGTGTTGTGAAACCATGTGTTTGTAACTTGAAATCAAGACGTTAACTATGTCTAGATGCATTTTACCCCACTGACATGTAAAATGATGCTCCAAGACTGGTCTTCAACTAGTGCCAGTTTAATAATAGGGAATGAATTGGTGGCAATGTAAAAACTACTTCACTTAATTGACAAATTTCAGCTCGGATACGATAGGCACGTTTGGCATTTACCGACTTGCGTCATGACTGGCGCCAAGTGGCGAGATGTCCAATGATTTATCCAAAGACAACTATACTACTTTGCAATCTGTCTTTTCCTGTTATACGTCAGTGAGATATAGCCGTTAAAAGTAGAAGACATGAAGCGGTTATAGTTTTTTGATTACAGGTATTTTCCTAGGAAAGATAGGTAAGTCGATTGATGAGGTTGCGAACCTTCATCAACAAATATGACTTGGACATGTACTGTACACGACGAGCCACCACCTACCTCGACGTGCAATGTCAGGCGAAGTTGGATTAAGTTGGAAGAAGGTAGAGGCTGCCCATACCAAGACGTGGCAAAAGTCGATGAAATTCCTGACTGTCGGTCTGAAGTTGTGAACGTTTATTGACTCAGTTGACTGGGACTTGTGATACGCATGCCTATCCACCGTTTTACTCAAAACGCTGTGTCAGCTGGAGTATGTTGAAGCTAGAAAAAAAGGTAACAGCGATCAATTCTCTAACTGTTGATATGAGTTGTGCAAGCAAATGTGTTACACATGCGTAGTCATGGCTTACTCTAATACGCAATATTAGGTCAACTAGACTTCTTGATAAAAGCTTAAAGGTGGTCAAGTGAAACACGTCACAACACTCCACGCAATCTCTGACTATTTGTTTTAATCATGTAGGTAAATGTGGACTTTTCGATTGCTGCTTGTGGTGCGGTCGAAATCAGTGATTGGAGACTCTAGATAACATAGTTCACAACCGACTACAGTGGTGTAGGTGCATCCATACATTATTTTGTGTGTCTTACCCCTTCTTTTTACCTCATAACTTTCTACAACTTTTGATCACATTTCTTTTTCTACTTTTCCGTCAGTCATTCAGCTGTCTTCTATCGTGGTATGGAGATGGTGAATTGAAGTTCTGCTAGTTACTATATCAATACTGACTGACTAGCTGGAAATGATGGTGAAATTTGAGTCTATCAATCCACAGGCTCCAAAGTAATTCCTCATATCGAAAAATAGATTCCTGGCAAATATACCTAACTGAAGGTTCTTTACTTTAAGACTTGTGTAATAGAGTAGATGACTCAATGTAGCATTCGGCACTTTAACGTAAATCCATTCACTGAAGTTTAGTGACCAGATAGTATCACAACCGATCAGCCAGAGTGGTTTCTACCTACTCATAACTTGTTCAGTAGTAGTATCTTTCGCTAGTTCATGACACATCTGTACAAGTGATCATTCAGCTGTGAGAAATCTCAACATAGACAGTGGAAATCATTTGTAAGTTCATCGTTCAACTTTAGGTATACCAGTTCATGCAAGTCAATTAGGTAGATTCAGGTGATCTGAAAAATAATTCGGCTATGTGAGCTGAATTTATGAGGGTACATCAGTGATGAGTTTGCCCCCCAAACGAGCCAAACGGCTGTCTAATATTTAGATTACTCTGATCTGGCTGGCTGCCAAAATCTATGGGTCAGCAAGAGCGGTTTCTAACCACTTAAGTTGTTCAATAATAGTATAGTATCGCAACTACCCTAGAATATGGATGTCGTTCATTGTATGCGTATATAGGAATCTGTAATTTGTTTATGGATGGAATTTTACCCTGATATCAAAACCAAATATACCACACTCAGTTTCATACTATAGTACTGATGACATCGACAGAACGTGAACTAACCACCTGAACACACAGATATATCGTAATAATGAGGTCTGACAGGCATTCCCGATGTTTATTAGGTGTTCCTTTAACACTATTCAACCAAGAAAACACGACAAAAGAAACCTAGAAATCTAGATTAACAAATCATTTACAGAAATCGATAAAACAACACCTTTAAAGAACACATTCGAAGAGTTGAAGAAACATTGAAACCTGGTGAACAATTGCCATGACAGATGCTATATATCATTCAAATAAGTCCTAATGAAATGATAGAGAGATGACGAACACTAAAAGGAAATAAATCAATCTCACCTGCATGGTTTACACCAACGATTTTGATGCTCTAGACCAAAACGTGCACGACACTTCTTAGCACTGCTTATATCTGTAGAGTTTGCATTACCGGCTAACAGGGATAATCTACCGCTGCCAGTACGTTCTTCATTTGAATCAGAATTACCAAAATCACCACCAGATTCTGAGGAGAGATGTAGTCCAGATTTATTGAATACTTTACCATTATTTGAATGAGTTTTAGATTGTGCTGCGGCTGCAGCGGCTGCTGCCGCTGCTAACTTCCTTTCTTTTTACGCCTTGAATGTATGGCGTAATTGTCTCTTGCAGACCAACCTGGAAATAACTATAAGGAAAAGGAAGAGATTTGAAGAAGAAAATAACAGAAAATAGGCAAAATGAAATTTGAAATATAAACACTAGTAAAAGTGGTAATATGACACTGTTATTGTGCAAAAAGATAATTTCACAATATGCCAGAAATTTCCTGTAATGCATTTATTCGTTAACTTTCGTAACCAGTAGCATAAAAACGCTGTCAGAGACCTTTATAGGAGGATAATTTCATGAAAAAAGTCAACAATGGACTGAATACCATAGACTATAAACTCAACAACTGTGTGCATCGTAGTCCCTATCATCAGACAGAACACTGACCAGGTATTATCGAATAATGGTCTAAGTTGCCACAACTCACAGCAGCATATCAAACGGGAACGGACTCAGATAACAGACAAAGAAATAAGAAAGAATCGGTCAAAATCAGTCATAGAGAGAAGGGAGCAATATGAAAAATAGTGAATTCAGTATAATGATTGAGCTGAGGATAATGTGAGAATAAATCAACGCCGCTGAGGTCGATTTTGAGCCATGTCACGTAGAATCTTCAAACACGCGGACCGCAACCAGGAAGACTACATTTCTATATACGATATAAAAGTCTTTGAATGCTGATCTGAGTTGGGACTTATTGGTTTAAAAAGTTGACTTTCAACCAATGGGTCACGGGTTTGAACACCGCTCGACTTCCCTGATAATATTGTTAACCCTCAAACAATAGGTGTAGTTCATCAATTAAGGAGCTTTCAGCATGTGCTGGGAACGCCAAGGCACTGTCTAACTCGAAGTGCCATGCTAAGAAAAGTTGGATTAGGTTGAAAGTGGGTTCAGGGTGACCGGCCAGACCAAGATTGGCACCGGTACATGAAGTCTTTGGCTGTTGGTCTGATCCGTTTGGAGAGATGTCGACTGCCAGGTTAGGGTCTCCAAGACGAAAGGAATCAGTGGCTAGAGACTCTTGGCGACATGGCTGAAAACCGGTTACAATGGTGCAGATGTTTACTTTGATATCAGTCTTTTTCTATCCAGCTGTTCTTTGTATACTACTGTGAAGTGTGTCAACTTGAAGTGATGCATTCGTGTGCTAGGTTCTACGCTTATTTTTGTCTTTAGGTCTCTCTGTGGCTCACTGCCTACTGCATGGACGTGTACAAGACTGCGGAGTGTCATTCTGTTGTAGGGAGTCAGAATAAATATTATGACTAGATTTTAAAGTGTTCATTTTTAAAAAATGTAGGCACATGGAGAACTTCACATACTTAGCAAATAGTGTGAGATGATCATATGGGTAATATTTCCCTTAGATGCTACGATAATTATCATCGAAATTCTGTATAAACCTATCCATATTCAGCGACATCCTTTCAACAATTTAAAGTTTTCCAAACAACAACACGATCACCATTGCGATTGGTTACTCTAAGGTCATCACTTAAGAGTTGGCTTCAGAATGATGAAACCCTATCATTACAATCTTTGCCCTATCCCAAAATGATTACAATCTTCTCAATTTTAGTAAGAGTAAGACAGACAAAGTGATATAATACTCAGGTTGTAGCAAGTGAAGAAAGGTTGGACGCTATTCTCCAAATGTTTTGCTATCGCCTCTAATAACACATTATTGACATGGTGGTTTTTTTAAAAAGTGATTGACGGTTTCTATTTCGAAATAATATGAAAAACTCTCCATTGTCACCTATCGCCATCATCAATACCTTCTCCATCTCAACATGAACATTGAAGTTTTTGGGATTGATTTACTTTCAACTACGAAGCATTACTGGAGACGAAATATCACATGAATGAGTATGTCAAGTCAAAATCCACTACTCAGCAACCTTGTGCACATTTTAGCAGTAGGTAATAAGCCACACCTGTAGTGTGTGTGAGAGCTAATGATACTACTATATGGCTATTAAAACCTTGGCAGGTGGAGGGGGCTCGAACCCACGGCCCACTTAGTTGAAAGCCATCACCCTAAACCAAAGAGCCATAGTACCACGTCTTCAAGTAATACCAAGACTTAAATGATGCAATTTAATTTCTTTACATTTATGACAAGAGGGGCATATACTGAACCGATGAATCGACACTAAAAGCTTTGGATTTCGACAACGATGATTTATCTCTAATGTCGCACAAACTAGAATATCAACAGGCGAAAAGTAACAAGTTGACAGAAGAGGCGAGGCGAGGCAAGGCAGTGAAAACAGGACTTCCTTCAGGTGAATGTAGAGAAGACCGAGGTGATGAAGATACCAAACAAACAACAGCATCAACAATGAGAGGCACCAATCACCATCAATGGGAGAAACCTAAAGGAAGTTGTCTCCTTCACCTACCTAGGCAGGACAGCATCGTTTCAACTACAGGGGGCAGTGGCACAGATGAGGGTGTCAAAACCACAATCAGAAAAGCAAGATAGGCTTTCACTAATCAGTGTGGAGATCTACTGCAATCAGCACAAAGCGTGAACATGATCCGGGTTTTAACACCAATGCCAAGTCAGTGCTGCAATATGGTTGAGAAACTTGGCGCGTAACGAAAAGCACTTCCAAAAAAGTGCAGACATTCATCAACAGCTGCTGCCTACGCTCACTGGATACTGAAGATCAGATGGCCAGAATAATAAGAATAAGCAGCAAAGAACTCTGGTAACGAACCAACCAAGAACCTTTTACTCAAAAAATATCCAGAAGAAAGTGGAGATGGATTGGATTGGACATACACTGAGAAGACCATTCAGGGACATCAAGCACCAGGTCAGGTCCTCAAGTGGAACCCAAATGAGAAACGAAAATTTGGGCGTCCCAGCTGAGGGTGACATGGGAGAGATCGTATGAGGAAGAAGTGAAAGCTTCTGGGCAGCCATGGAGCTAGGTTGGAAAGACTCGAGAGAGGAGAGTATAATGGCGACGTGCTACTGAAACCCTATGTTTCACTGGAAACCCAAGGGAAAAACAATAATAATAATATGACAAGATTTTACTCATCAACACAGCTCAAATTAAACCCCATCCGATGAGGCAAGATTTCATAATCATGAAATGAGTTAACTAAACAACAGTTCATAAGAGGATATTTCATAATCTTTCAAAAACAGCTGCCTAGAATTATTCAAAATTCAATTATTGGCGAATAGAGTAGTTAAAAAAAAAACTGTCGAAAATTGGGTGGATTTTTTTAATTGACTGAACCGTTTACTTCTCACCTTTCTGAGCAGTTTACTCAACACATAATTCACTGGAAACCGAGAACTAGACAGAATGTAAACTAAATATGTTTACTTTCCGTGTCATTCAACTAATTATAATTTGTTAGTAGTAACTGATACCAGTAGAAGGGGTAAGCTTCATATATATCACGAATTGCAATCGATTAGTGTAATTTTGATTTAAGGTTAGAATTCATTATGGACTGATATCAGATGGAGGAACATTGGAAACTTAAGTCAAATATAGCAATCCACTAAGTAATGTACATTTATACTTAAATTGTCTATTATTAGTGGAAAATTTAGTGAATAAAACAAATACAGACAAAGTGAGTTCCTTTTTCACTAAATAGAAGAATAGAGGTGTCACATACCGTATGACACTAAGATGTCACTCATCTGTTGGTGTCTAAGTATTCGACCTTCAACCAGTAGGTCACGAATTCGAACCCCATTTCACTCATTTAGCCAGCATCATTATCTCTATTCAAAGACACATGTACAGAGTATGAATACTTGCTTACAAGCAACCACGTGTATTTTGTTGCTGAGTATATTTCATTTCTATTCACATGAAACCGATTGCTCAACATTCACCAACCATAATAATAATAATAAGTGATACTTAAAAAAAGTGGTATTACTGACTCTACCTGATGATGAAGTTCTTTCTCTTTTCTAGCCAATTCATAATATTTTGCTTGTTTTTCACGTGATAATTCATGCCATTTTTTGCCAAGAATTTGATTAATTGCAGCTGACTCTTTTAATGTACATTCTTCTTGTACTTTTGGTCGCATATCTTTCATGAATAGCATAAATGCATTTAATGGCTTTTTAATATGAACACGTTTATTGCCAGTTGTAGTTGTTGTAGTAGTAGGAGTAGCAGAAGAAATTGTGACAATTGATTGATTATGACCATGATCATTATGAATACTACTTTTATCACTTCGAGTAGTATTAGTGATGGATGGAGTAGTAGTAGTAGCAGCAGCGGGGATGGTCACAGTCGTGAGGTTACTTCCACAGGGAGTAGAATAGATTCGATTACTAGATATGTGTTGTTGTGAACTGACTGTAGTGTTCTTGTTCTTTACGGATAATTCTGGAGAAATCCTTTCAAAATCATCATAATTGAATAATGGTTTACTAGTACAAGTAGGAGAAGATGGTAAGCATAAGGAGAAAGAATTGGCCAAAGATTCAGGAGAATTGATGACATTCGATGTCAAAGATGAACTAAGCGGTTTGTGATTACTTGTATTGTTATTGTGATTCGCATGTTTTACAATCAATGGATCCTTGGATTTCTGCGATCTATAAAAAACAAGTGTAATTTCAGAACAACATAAAATTTGAGAAAACGATCTTGGAAATAAAATAATTTCAAATATGCGTATACATTTATTACTCTATTATAAAAAGCTACAGAAACAGACAAAACGTAGAAATTTGCTGGAGAAATAACAACTTTTCAAAAAAAAACAATACGTAAAGACAATCGATACAAACTCCAATTGAAAGTTGAAATGCACCCGGTTACGATAGTGAATTTCGCGCAGTAGACAATGAGCCATACCTCATTTTGTGCAGGCTGGTCAGATCCTGAACGAGCTGGTTGTCGATAATAAGTAACCTCTGACTATCGATCAAAGGACGAGTATACTGCACTGCAGTCCATTTTGTCCTGTTACACGACTGTGAGATATTGCCGTTGAAAGTAGAAAACGCCAAGTAGTTACAAGTACTTGCTCGCGTTTGGTGGAATCACCATGTGAGCAATGTTGAAATCAGAAGAAGGGTACTAGGCAAGTCGATTGATATAGTTGTGAACCTTCATCGGCTAAGGTGGCTCGGTCATGTGTTGTGTACCACATACCTCAACATGCCATGCCAGGGGAAGTTGAACTAGGTAAAAAAAAAGGGTTCAGGGGAACCAGCCAGACTAAGACGTGGCTGATGTGAGCCATGTAGGGAAGTGAGGCCCGGATGGCTGGGGTCCTTGAGACGAAACGAATTAGCGGCTGAGGATTCTTGGTGGCATGGCTAATAAATCGGTCACAATGGCGCATATGTATTCACTCCTTCAAATCTTCTAAAGTTTGCATATTCATATGACTCTGTCTACTTTGATATCAGGCACTGGTGGCTTAGTGGCCGACGAAATTTCTGCACGAATACGAAAGGCTCGATTGGTTTTCGTCAACTTACGCTACCTATGGCGCCGCCGTGATATCCGTTTGTCTATTAAGGGTCACATGTACTTCACAGCAGTCCACTCTGTCCTACTGTATGGTTGTGAAAAATGGCCACTGCAGGTGGAAGACATGAGAAGGCTTCAGGTGTTTCACTACCAATGCCTTCGTAGTATAAGCCGTGGTGTCTCCACGTAACTCAAAAGTCACGTGTAGAGTTTCAGGCAGGAGAGGTAAATCACTTGACACGCTTGTCAAACTTCATCCACTGAAATGGTTGGCACATGTATCACGTATGCCTACTTGCCGTCTGCCTCATCACACAATCTTCGCCAAAGTACCTTCAGCCTGGAAAAACGCTCAAGGCGAACAGACCAAACATGGTACCAATGTATGAAGTCCTCGACTGTTTATTTTGAGCATGTGGGGCGATGCAGACTAGCCAGTTAGGGTCCATGGGACAAGAGGAACCAGTGATTGGAAACTCTAGGTCATATGACTGGGAATCGATGTCAGTGGCGCAGATGTACACATACATTATCCTCATCTTAACGACGCCATACCGATTCTCAACATTTTCTCATTCTTTTTTTCTCCCTTTTAGTACTCTATATTTGTTTTGACTGAATTTTCTTATCTTCATCTTGCAGTTCACTGCCTTTTTACTTGATGTACTGATATGTGGTGTAGCAACTCGGACCGTTACACAGTAACGCCTAGTCCTGTGTTGATGGATGATGACTTTGATATCAGTCTATTTTTATTCACTTGTTCTTTTTATGCTAATGGGAAGTGGGGCAAATTGAAGTAATGCACTTATGTGCAAGGTTCTACGCTGGTTTCATCTTGTCTTGCTGAGGCAATTCGCCAATCATCAAAAACGGGTTTTTACGAATAGTGATTTTTTAAGTACCGAAAATACTTGCATAGGATTATCGATTTGCAAATGATTAACAAAATGCACAGTCCATGTTGACACTACACAGAGCTGAGTAGTTTTTTCCATCAAACTGTCCAAATGTGGTGTCCACAGGGTTTCGGTTGGAATTTTATTTATTATTTATTCGAACACAAATATGATACAGCAAAGGCACCGGGAAATACGCCACACCTTGCGTGAAGGCTGGGATACTGCCCGGTCACGCAGACTGAAGTGGGTGGTTGTCTAAGGGGACCACTTCACAAGCCTATGATTTAAAGTCTAATCCGCAAGGCAGTGGAGGAACATCAGGAGCTTCATCCTCATGGTTCCCAGTGACCGAAGTAGGTTCATACGCCACTCGTTTCATCTGGAACCTGAAGCCTATGAGTACTATTGGTTTCGATTCAGGGTTTTCCAACTCCCCTAGGTGGACCCTCAGTATCCACCAATCTGGTTATAAGCGCCGGACATTGACTTGCCCCTTTCACGTCTGTAGAAACATCGCCGTTGGAAATCACCATACAAAAGTGTTATGGACCAGTGAAAGATACTACTATTGACCAAGTTGAGTAGTTAGAAACCCTTCAAGCTGATCTGAACAATAATTCAGTTGTATGAGGTGAATTTTTTCAGGTTCACTACTGATCAGCTCGACTCCAAACGAGCGAAATGGTAATGCAGTGCTTAGATCACTGTGACCTGGTTGACGAAATCTAGAGATCAGTCTGTATTCGGACTCAACCCACTACTCTACAGCGTTTGTATCAATAGGCATTATTAGTACACACAATATTAGTTTTTGTCTAACTCATATTTATCTACTTTCTTATTCAATATGCTTGGTGAAAAACATAGAACAGGACAATGTCTATCTTTATCTATGTAATATATTATTTTTAATATATAATGTATACATGACACGGATACATGACAATATAACGATAGATCAATATAGGCGCATGAATACATACACATAGACACATACACACTTTCATATTTGATCATTCTGTTACTTAATATTTCGATGATTTATTCACTTATTTGCTATTGCATATGTGTATAGAACAGTGAAATGTGACACACACACACACACACACACACACACACATATGAAGATGTGTTGGAGTGGCAATGTGCTTATATACTGCACAGATGAATACTTATTGAATAATACAAGAAGAATCCTATTAAGTAGTCAACTCCGTCGAAGTAGAGATGCCATTAGGAACAGAATATCACACCGATACACACATTTTCAGAGGTAAAGAATTAACCTACAAGTTTTGCATACTTCTTTTTAAGTAAAAAATGAAAAAAAATATTAGTGTTTTGATAAACAAAATCAAGCTGACACAGAATTTCCTTTTGCTGAATAAGCAAATGATAATGCTGGTGGTTCACAGTGGCAGTTGGGTAAACGAGCACGAGACATTGGTCATTCATTGGTCGTGCTAATTAACAAGAAAAAAGTGGGTAGGCCCGGTTTTTGGTGCCTGCCTAAAGTTAACAAAAGACACTGGAAAAGAAGAATTTGATGATATTTGATATTAGTGACATGTATGATACGGCACACACACACACACACACACACACACACACACACACACACACCACGAGGAAGGCGGAGACTGATTGTCAGAATTGTCAGGCGTTAAGCAAAAAGGTGCTTAAATAGCAATATGTAATAGGCGCGCATCAGACAGTTATCAGATTGAAACCGACATCAGTTATCATGAATATGCACTGCTGAGGTACAATTGATTGAATCTTTATGTTTCAAACTGCCCAGATGTCAATTGTCTTATACAACCTAGGAAAAAACAGTTACACAAAAAACCGACCGAAACCTGTTACCCAGAAGAAGTGGTGGTCAGGCTTGAATATCATAGTGAAAACATTTACTCCTTGATATTTTTTCATACCAAAAATGGTCTGTTGGATTATGGTGAGACAAAAGGCAGTTACGTTTATAGTGCAAATATCTACACTATGATAGGGAGGGCGGAGGTGTCGCAGGAAAAATTCGTATTATTGACCGGATGTAGTATGATACCAGTAGGTTGTTTCCTGCAGACTTACAGCAAGCCACGCTGATGCTACCTTTCCCATATGCGAGAGAGGGGGGAAGGTTGTCTTAAAATTCAACACAATAAAATTTACCTCTCAAAATTTCAAAAAGGCCATGTGTGACCGACCTCAAAAAGATGTTTCTACCGTCAATAAAATTTTCTCACTTACCATAGGAAGTAATCGTCTTCAGTGAGGAAAGCTAGGAAGTGTTAACCACTGTCACAACTCTCAGCAGTAAAGTTTCCTCAGATGATTATCAGCCTTCAACATCATTAACCTCGAATCTTTTCTTGAATCTCTCTGTTGATAATCATGAGTCACGTTTAATTTCCTTCGGCTGAGAAGCCTTGGTTAACGATTCGAGTCAAGAAAACAGCATCCCTGGTCTCCTAAAACAACGCGCCAAACGGTATATCCAAGGTTCCAATGTCCCCACTCTTTATTAAACCGGAAAATATGCTTCCCTAACCAGAATTCCAGTATTTTTGGGTTATGGTTCTGTGCTGTATTTGTGGGGCATGCACATCGGAACCCCAGCATGGTTATTTACTCAAACTCGTGCGGTTAATATGATGAATTTTCAAACCCCATCTCACGCATATAGGACGGGTAGTATCAGCACGGATTCCTGGACATCCGCAGGAAACATAGATCCAACCAACAGTATGAATTTACTCTGTGACACCTCCCTCCTACCATAGCGTAGAGATATGTCCTATAAACATAACTGCTTTTGTTCAAACACAATGTAACAAACCTTTTTCGTCTGATAGGACCTCAAGAAGTAAATGTTCTCACCAAAGTAGCCTGTTGCCTCATTGTGATATTTAAGCCCAGCCACCAAGTCAGGGTAGTAGTTTGAAACACTAGGAATCAATGGTTGAACACCACTGGTTATTATATGGCTGAAAATCGGTCAAAATGAAGCGATATACAGTCTCTTTTTGGAGTTTTGAACATTTTGACTAATTTTCGTTCATTTATTGTTTCTTCTATCACATACTTTCGTATCATTTGTTTTCTGCATACCCGTGAATAACACACCGTTGTTCGGTAAGCTAAATAGCTTGACTTCTGTAACAGGCTCTCAGGTAATTTGCATGTCTGTCTATACCTTTACAGTCCTTATGAGTTGAGGATCTCGCATTCTTATCGTATCGTTAATCAGAAAGCCGATGCTTTCCTTGGGATATGGGATATGAAAAAGCATTAGCGACTAGAGGAATATTCATATGGAGTGTGAAGTGGTTGGATGCATCAACCAATTCACATATTTGGGGAATAGCAGTAGCCAAAATGAACTGGTTGCTAATGAAATCTCAGTTCGGACATAGAAGGTACATTTGGCATCTGCTGAATTGCGTCATCTCTGGCACCAGCTGGCAAGATATTCTACTACCTATTAAAGGAAAACTATGGTGAGCTATAGTTTGTTCTGTCGTGTTATACGGCTATGAGACATCCCCGTTTAAAGTAGAAACGGGAAGCAGTTACAGGGTTTCGATTACAGATGCTTTCGTAGCATTGATCGTATTTAGTGGAATCACCATATGAGCAATGTCGAAGTCAGGTGAAAGGTACTAGGCAAGGAATGAAAGTCGTTCTGACGACTGAGAAAAATTGTACATATGCTACTCATGCCCAGCCACCACCCATCTTGGTGTGGAATGCTAGGAGAAGTTGGATTAAGTAGGAAGAGGATTTAGGATGGGCAGACCAAGACGTGGCATCAGTTCATGAAGTCCCTAACTAGTGGTGCGAGGCTTGTGGTGAGAGGTAGACTACCCGATTGAGGTCCCCGAGACGATAGGAATCAATAGTTGCAGATTCTGGGTGATATGGCTAATAAGTCAGTCAAAATGGAACGGATACATTCACTCCTTGACACCTCCTAAAGCTTGGATATTTGTACTAATACACCTTCAAAATGTTTACTCTCTCACACAATTTTATCTACGATCTGAATCGTTCGACAGGAACGTCCCTGACTGCAGCACTGGGTGACGTAGGTCCATATCTCTAAGTGGAAATCAGTGCTCCCTCTTGAGGCTACAGATGCATGATTCTTACTAGAGGAAAAAAGCATGAAATGTAGGTCAAACAGGGTTTCATGCAGATTTCCTTCGAACAACTATGCAATCGTTACCTTTACCTTTTTTAAAATTCATAGGAGTGAATTTAAAAACCATTAAAAATTATTGGCTGTTGCCAAAAATTATTGATAACCATAATAGTAAATGTATCAACTCCAGAAATACCACCTGCAGCCACAGAACTACAAGTTAACATAAATCCTCCAACAAAAGTGGAAGTCCTGAACGCCATAAAGCTACTGAAATGTGGGAAAGAAGCAGGACCAGATGGGATCCACCAGAAGCACTGAGAACAGATGCAGAGACAACAGCAGATATGCTCACACCACTATTGCAGAAGGTCTGGAAGGAAGAGAAGGTACCTGGCGATTGGAAGAAGGTTTACCTTGTCAAACTCCCGAAGAAAGGAGACCTCAGTGTTTGCAAGAACTGGCGCGGAATCGCGCTCCTGTCCACCCAAAGCAAGCGCAATATTAGGCCTCATCATCCTGGAGAGACTAATGGATGTACTGGATTCAAAACTACGACCGGAACAGGCAGGCTGGATTCAGGAAGTACAAATCATGTGCAGACCAAATTACAACGCTTCGTATCATCATAGAACAGAGTACAGAATGGCAGTCAACTCTACACCTCAACTTCATCGACTTTGAGAAGGCCTTTGACAGCGTCGACCGAGAAGTAATTTGGCAGTTGCTTCGATACTACGGAATACCGCAAACCTTTAGCAGCCTCATTCAACAACTATATGACGACGCCACATGCAACAAACAGTGGGGAGCGAGAAGAGGGGGATATGCTGGCCTGTGGAAAAGAACCTAGAAGACTTGAATTTCGCCGATGACTTATGTCAAATGTCGCACAAACTTGAAGATGTACAGTCAAAAACTAACAAGTTGACAGAAGAGGCAGGGCAGCGAAGACGGGACTTCAAGTGAATATAGAGAAGACAGAGGTGATGAAGACACTGCACCAACAACTCCAACAACAACAACAAGCTCTAATCACCATCAACGGGAGAAACTTAAAGGAAGTAGCCTCTTTCGCCTATCTAGGAAGCACTGTTACAACTACAAGTGGCGGCACAGACGAGGACGTCAAAGCCAGAATCGGTAAAGCAAGACAGGTGTTCATTAGCCTGAAACCAGTGTGGAGATCTTCTGCACTCAGCATGTGGAACAAGATCCGGATTTCCAACACCAACATCAGTCAAGTCAGTGCTTCTGTATGGTTCAGAGACTTGGTGCGTTACGAAAGGGATTTTCAACAAACTACAGGCATTCATCAACAACTGCCTACACTGGCTAGATACTCAAGATCAGATGGCCAGAATAACGAGAATAAGCAACAAGCAACTCTGGCTGGTAATGAACCAACGAAGCAAGAACCTATCACTGAACAAATATGCAGAAGGGAGTGGAGATGGATTAGACTTTGCATACACTGAGAAGGCCGACTGGGGACAGACATCACGCGCCAGTCAAGTTGCTCGAGTGGAACCCTGATGGGAAACGACGAGTTGGGCATCCGAAGCGATGGTGACATGGAGGAGATCGTGCGAGGAGGAAATGAGAGCTTGTGCGCTGTCGTGGAGTCAGGTTCAAAAGTTTGCAGAGAAGAGAGTGGAATGGAGACGTGCAAGTGAAGCCCTATGTTCCATTTGGAACCCAAGGGACAAATAATAATATAATAAAATGTATTAACATATGTAGAGGTGTGGCGAATCGGTCTAAGGAGTAACCTTCCCACCAGGGGGTCATGAGTGCTAACGCTGCTCCACCTACCAAGTTTTCAGAAACCAGGTAGTATCACTAACCCTCACACAATAGACGTGGCTCATTTTCTACTGTGCGAAAATTGGCAAGGTTGCTAAGAGGACCAAAATTGTGGAGGTGTGGTTCATTGGTTTAAAGTTGACTTCCAAACTGTGGGTCACGGGTTCGAACACCGTTCCACTAACTAGGTAGTATCACTAGACCTCGCACAACAGGGGTAGGTGATTGTCTACTACATCAAAATGCACAAGGTTGCTGAGTGAATTTAATTTTGTACACTGAAGTATGAAGATTTTTAAAAAATGGGAAAATGAAGCAGGTAATTAATTCATTCAACCAATTCCCATCGAAGTGACAAACTATGAGTACATGTGAATCGACTCTGACGCATCAGTTGGTATTTTATCAGAACTAATTTTAAACAAGTGGATTTGGCGGCACTAGACAGCTGTTTTATCATACTTAGCGACTGCAAGATGGTGTGGAACTATGAACCTAGGGGTGGAAGAGACCCGGACCATTAGGTACTACGACCAACACAGTACCAAGACGTCACTAGCTTGGAACCTAATGTGTTCAAGTTTTCCTATTTCTGCCTCTTCACTATTTAGGGTGACCATGAACTACAACGTCATCAGGAAATATTTCACCCCTGAATGGACTTGGTTAACCACCACCTCAAAGGTCACTTTTCTTTAAAACTTCGAGGAAGTCAGTCACCAAACAAGTTACTAATGAGTGGTGAACAGTAATTCAATTAGCTGATTGACTGCACAGGAAGTTTCGTGATGAGTTGACATTAGTCTTTGATGAACAAGTGAATAAGTTCGACTTTACATAGTCCTAAAAGAGGAAATGAAAAATAATAAGAAGGCAGACATAAAAAAACAACAAGCAACTCAGACAATACATACAAGAATGATATCATACATTATGCGAAAAAAATAGAGAATGTATTCACGTTACTACTGTTTCCATTAGGTAGTTGTAGCGCTGAATGACAGCTGGTACAAAAAGATTAATCATTTTGGTGTGTGTGTGTTTCACAAACACTATACTGGAGGAAACTCTTCACCGAAAAACACAAACTCATATGTTATAAAGGTGTTCCAGTCGGTAACCGGTCCAACAGTCATTTAACACTCTTCTTGAGGCACCTTAAAAAGAAGGGTTAGTGCATGACCTCAGAGCCCAAAGAACATCTGCTTGAGGCCAGTCAAACACTAACTTTTGACAAGTTTTGGTTCTTTGTTTTTGAATCCAACTATGAATCCATGTTGCAACATGCCACGAGGGGTGAGTGTGTTATTTTGGGGGCTGACATCTTCTAACCCATCCCTTCCCATAAGCGAGGCAGCATCACAGTGGTACTGCTTGTCATTCAAGGGAAACACTTTGACACTGTCACACCTCCATCCAGACACTTGTAAGACTACGCCCTCGGACCCCCATCACAGAGCAGCAATATACACAATAACGGTCTTAATATTATCCAACAGAACTTTTTGGCATGGTAGGACGTCGAGAAAACAAGCGTTCCAGCCAATATAGCTAGTTGGAGTCACATAAGCCTAACCGCCATGTCAAGGTAGAGGCTATCGGTTAGGACTTGACACTACTCTTTGCAAGCTTCTGAAGAGTCTCCGCAACAGTAAACATGGACAGATATCAGTAGAATGTTTGGAATAACGCAACACGTATCATTCTAGCTGTCAGGATTAAAGGGCTACCAGTAGTTAAACAGATCCCGATAACCAAAAAAAGAAGAAGAACAGCATGACAATAAAAACTTAGGCGCGCCGAAAAGCTAAACTTACGTATAGTGTGTTGAACACATATCATTCGATAAGCCGGTCGGTTTGAATGGTTTACAACCAACAGAAATCGGATCATTAATGATATTCGTATTGTTTAATGTTGACTGGGATGGAGTGAATGCAAACATTGATTCTTGTCTACTGGACACTGATGATTGTTTATCAAGATGTGATGAAATGGAATGCTGTAGATTTGATTCAACGGATCCATTACGTGATAATACTGGTGATAGACTATTCGGTAAAGAGGATGATCGAGGCGAAGATGATGAATGAGCAGCTGCAGCGACAGCTAGACTTGACAGGAAGTGTACATGTGCTGCTGCTGCAGCCGCTGCCGCGCTGCAGCAGCACGTTGAGAACAATCAGTTAGCAGACTAAAAAAGAGAGAAGAAGCAGTGATTGAGTTACAAAAAAGGAGAAAGTTATGTCCACTATCAACCGTCATACAACTCTTAAGCTGAATCATACAAACAACAACGCATGTAAGGCGAATAGAAAACTAACTACTCATCAAGGCGGTCAAGTGAACTAACCCAGAGGGATTCTGTTGATTTCCGTCAGAATCAGTTTTTACCGGTGAGTCTGTCCATGAAGTCGCTGTTGGCATTCCCAGCCGGCTTTGACAACCATAGGATAAGCCGATATCTTCAAACGAATTCGATGAGACAACAGACTGATGGTTATTAAGTGGATAGTCACCGTCGATACCAGATAGCTGTCCCATGAAGTGTTTACTCGTATTTACCTGAAGATCAGATAATGTATTGAACTGAGGAGTTAGACTTGAAGCAGTTGATGACGAATTTATACCACCACCGCCAACACTGCCTAGCATCACTATATCAGAAGTAGGATTATGCAAATGAATAGGATCACCAGAATTGAAGATCGGGAAGGCGATGAGAGTAAATTACTATTACCACCATTAATCCCAAACGGTGATAATAAATTATCATGATGACCAAGGAATGATATGAACTCTGGTTTGGTAAAAATCGTTGACTCGAATTTCCAGTTTTATATAAATCTGAAATTCGAATAGAGTAAAAAAAAAAGGAAAGAGACGGGTGAGTAGTTAAGAAAAATATATACATGGGTACTACGCTTGAGTCTGAGTTGGAACGAAATCACTAACTATGGTACAGGTACATCCAATTGATGAATACCAAATAGGATGAAACGCAAGTACTAGACTCTACTGCTAGCCACAACCAAGTCAATTAAAACACCACATGTTTGATGTCTTCTCAAGAGCAGGAGTCATGATGAAAAAGTCATTATTCCTGGTCAGTGACTATAAAGACCAGCCTAAAAACAACTGGAATAACAACCAATAAAACTTCGTGATTTTTATGAAGATCTGTCTTTCTAGCTGAAATCAAGAAATGTAATCTGGTTATTTTTCAGTCGTTACTAGAACAGCCTTTAAAGTCACTAATAGATAGTTCAACTCGAATGACACTATGCAAGTTTTGTTAAACAGATTATGAACAATATGTAATTTGTGCGGTTGCCAACATTTTGTTATTCAGAGTAAATTAGGCGGAAAAGGCTTGAACACAAGGTAAGACAAAATCAACGTAGAACCTCGAAAACAAGTGCATCCGTAATATCAAAGAAGATTGTGGGGTGAGAGAATAAACAATCTAAAGATGTCAAGGGGTGAATACATCTGGGTCATTGTGACCGATTTCCAGCTATGTCGTCAAGATTCCTCAACCATATTATTCCTATCGTTTCGACAACCCTTGAACGCAAGACCGACTCTATGATTGGTAGTCGAGCGCCTAGGCGACTACTGAGCGATCGTAACACATATCGTTTTGTCAGGAGTAATAAAGAAGGTGGTGATTGACGCATTTATGTAGTCAAATAACTTTGGAGCACGAGGTTGTCAACACAATAATGACCTACAATACTAAGTGCTGGGTTACGGGTGTAATGTGTTGCCTAATGATACTGTCTGGTCGTCTTTGCCTTGGAAAGTGGAGTGCAGTTCAAACAAACAACCACTACATAAAAATCGAGTCCCTGATCTATTCGATCACACATTCACCTGATAACCACCAGTCATTTGGGCAAACAAGGCAAAAGAGAAAGAGGAATAACCCATTCTCAAACTATGAAGTTTGGGAAAAAACGAACGAAATGTGGTTCGGTCGACTGGTCTAGTGTAAAGGGGTGACGATTGGGGGTGAAATGAAAGACTTAACTGTAGCAACAGGATTCAGACCACCGGTCTCGAGCTTAACAGTCGCCCAGCGCCCTACCAGCCAAGCTACGAACATCGCGGGTAAGAGGCTAACGTAAGGTCACTACTACCACTGCTGTTAAGGGCTACATAAAAGTAAATCAAACCAATCAAGGATATCGCTAAGATAGACAGATCAAAGTGAAGCAACAATTTGTAAAAGTTAGTGTTTTTTCAAAAATTTTCGCATCAACATATGTAATGGATTAGCGTAGCGAAAATTTACAGACTAAATGTGACAGACTGAAACAGTTCTTTTTTGTTTACACGATTGGTTTAAATTTAGAAGTATAATCGTATGAATGTAAAACAACTCCCGAGATATTGCCATATTGCTTAGCTACACCAGTGAAAAAAAAAGATTAACTTTTATCGCGATAGCCGTTTAAGGCGAAGTTGCTGAGATATGAAATGCAGTTTTTTTGAATGCCTTGAGAAAAAAATCTCAGTTTGCTTAGAATGCCTTTTGGATCTGCCATTTGTAAGATGATGCTATAAGCCTGGTCTACAAACCCTTTCAACTTGAGGATGGGTGTGTGGAGGAGGGAGGTCTGAAGTGGTAGGATACGTTAACCACTTCACTTACCTGAGGAGCTGCCTCCCCTTGGACACGAAAAGCTCACAACGCATTCCCGAACCTACGTCAACTCTGGTATCCAGTAAATACATGACAAACCATTAAAAGATGAGTACACTGATCTGCATTCTCTGACAGAAGTTAATGTATGCAAAACTCCGGCTTATTTATCAAAGATACCTTCACAGAATTTTTCATAAATGCTGGGGGTTATAGTGAGAGCATCATCAAGGTTGAGCGTAGAATAAACTACACAAGAAAGGCAAGTCAGTTGTGAACTTCCATCAATTGAGGTGGCTTCGATATGCATCACGTAAACCGATCCATTCCCTACCTTTTTGTGTGATGTCAGTTACAGGGCGATTACGTTCCTGATACAGTAGGCGTCAATAGTTGGTTGATCATAATGACACAGACTTACTTATACACTAATCATATTCGAAGTAGTCAACGTTTTCCTTAACCTTCATCGCTTTCTACTGTCTCTACTCTCATCCATTTGTCCCTGAGAATAAAGGAATTAGTGATTGAGGATTGTTGATGATATGGTTCGAAATCGGTCACTCTTTAACATGTCTTTTAAAGCTTAAATATTTGCACTAACCTTTACCACTAAATTTTTCATTCTTCCACACAACTCTGTCTACTTTGATATCAGTCTTTTTCTATCCACCTGTCCTTTGCATGCTGCAATGAAATATAATAACTTGAACTGATGAACTTCTATGCCAGTTAAAACCTTGATATCTTTTTCTTCGTATTTGCATCAAAATACTGCAACATTGCATCATGAAATTCCATAAGTTTGAGCAAAGTAGGATGCAAAGATTAAGGAAATACAATAGCAAACATTCAATTGTCACTACTGTTCGATGTGTTCACTGGGAGGGGTTAGGCTTCAAAATGCATTCCATCACACCAAGATTAGTACAGCTGATTACTTGTTATCTTGTGTACGGTTATCGAAAATATTGAATATCGAGTCGTCAGTGTATATGCTGTCTTCATCACCGTCGTCTGAATAATACAAATTATGCTCACTACTTATACAAGGCTATGATCCAAGAGAGGACAAAAATTTGACAACTATAAACAATGTCGGGAGGGGAAATGAGACAATTTTCAATATTGACTTGAAATCAACCAGAGGAATCATTGGAAAGAACGTTATCCTGTGTTTCCTCGGGAAATATGATTACGTATTCAAGAATGAATATATCTGCGCTACTGTGACCGATTTTTAGCCACGTCACCAAGAGTCAGCAGTCAACCACTGATTCCTTGCTTCTCGGGAACCTCAGTCAGGTAGTCTACATCTCCCCACATGACACATCAACAGTCAGGGACTTCACGGACTGGTCCCACCTCATGGTCTTGTTACCCTAAATCTCCTTCTAACCTAATTCAGCTTCCCCAAGCATAGGACGTTAAGGTAGGTGGTGTCTCAGTATGCCCAGCACATATCCAACCCATCTCAGTCAGTGAAATTTCTAATGAGGTAACGGAAATTGAAGGAGAGAGATGCCGAAAATCATTAGTCACAATGGTCCAACTGTATTCACGACATTTTCAGTCGAAACGATGTATATGCTTTGATTATAAGCGTATTTTTTTGCCAAGATAAAGAGATAATAAGTTTGGTCGGTTCTGTCTCTTTGTGTTATTTAATATAAACCAATGTGGAGAAACTTATGACATCCTGTAACTACTATATCTTCAGCGCCAAAGAACAAAAAAAACCTACCAAACGACAGAACATAGTTCGAAATCCTTATCAGGTACATAAAGCTTCAAGGAGAGAAACCAAAGCAAGTATAACTGTAAAAAATGATGTGTTCAGCATCACTTACTCGCTGCTTTGATTAACTCTGAATGAAATGCAGCTGCCGCTGCAGCTGATGTTGATGATGGGGAGTGAGTGAGAGCAGCAGCAGCTGCAGCTGCCGCAGCTACAGCTATAACAGACGGTGATGATTTTGTCTGTGAGGAGAGATGATTATCATAAACAGAAAAATTGGATAAAGATGAAGATTTCGGGGTTGGAATTCTGAAAGGCACAGGTGATTGAACACTTGACTGAGGCCATGGTGAAGATTGAAGTTTTGGACTAGATGAACCAGAGGAAACAGCTGCAGCCACTGCAGCTGCTTGTAAAGCAGCACCGTAGAATGGTCCAGCCATGAAAGCGCTCAACGAGGGAGTGAGTGCACCGAATGGAGGCAGTATCGGTGAAACACAATTGGTTTGGGAATCAGAAAAGGACTGAAATAGATGACAGAAACATTAAAGTTGGTATTAGACAAGCTAATTTGAAAAAAATTGCAAAGAACAGATTGAAAATGGATTTTTACCCAGTCTGTTAATTTAATTATCTTTGTAGATGTAACAGTACATTAATAGAGACGTTGCTGAATGACAAAAAGAACTGATGTAAATAACTTTTTTTTTAAACAAAGTACTCAGAATGCATGTGATACCGCAGTGGACTGTATTTTTGTACCGGATGCTTAGAAATTGTGAACCAAATTTCTTTTTTTAATGCCATTGCTTGTATTATCCTGCAGTTCATTGGACCGGATCGACCAGTCTCTATTGGCACATTTGCTTCTACGCAGATACCAATAAAGACCAATCTATTCAGTCCAATCAAAGACGGGATAATACAAGTAATAACATTAAAACTATACCTGTCACACAAGAAGTGGCTATCGTGACTAAGTGATCCAATGATTAACGTTCTGGCGATTAGAGTGATGGGTTTCTGGGTTCAAATCTCAGTAGGAACTTCGATACCACTCTTTTTCTATTCACCTATTCTTTGTATACTACTGTGAAGTGTGGCAATTTGAGGTGATGCATTTGTATACGAGGTTCTATGTTAATTTTGTATGTCTGTTCTTTGATACATAGTCGGATATCTAATCAGCTAGAGCTACAGATAACTCAATCTGGCAAATGTCAAACGGCCCTTCTATATTTGACCTAACCGACAAATCTCGAATAATATATATGAGAGAATGAGAGATAGAAGGAAAAGGTAAGATAACAAACGTACAGATTCCACTAAAAGTTCATAGTATCTGTATATAGTCAATAGAAAAGGATACTGCATAACCACAGAGTCAGTTAACTATATAAGTCATCTTCTTTTATACCTTTCAGACTAGAGAAACTGAGGTCACTGTTGTTAAATAATAATATTAATTTACTAATTAGTACTGAAAAATACTTATCAATTAGTAGGTAGAATAACGTTAGCATTATGATCTCAGTAGGTGGTTGGGGTATTGAATGATCTAAGTCTTAGAGGGATGACTTATAGAATAGAAAAACGGATGTGTTAAATTCTATACAGTAGGAAGGTGAAAGTCGAACTACTGACAACTATGTGAAATCTTGTTTCTTCATATCATTGATCAGTAGTAAATGCTAACAACATATTTTGTTGTTGAGGCATATATAGACAGTTCGATATTATTGATGGATAGTGGTTAGCAGCGGAATCCACCTCGACGTGTGCTTCGTCCCATTTAGGACTCGTCAACTGCGTATACCTGCCCCCGGTAACCGATGCTATCCCCACCAAGACTTAAACTCGGGACCGATTGCTTCAAACACCAGAGAGTTATCCACCAGACCATTGAGTCATGATAGTCACATCTTGTGCGACAGGCGTAGTTTTAATGTTTTTGTATTCCACTGCTAGGCACTATCCATCATTAGTATATAACTCAAACATAGGCAATATCAAGGCATTCGTGCAGGAGCCTATATGTCATTAGAAACTCATCAATTTGGTCCAATCAACGACGGGATTATATAAGCAACAGTATGTCCCAATAACTAGAATTAACACGCAATAATCCTGATATGGTTGAACTCGGTGAACAGATTTCTTGGATAGTATCGTAAAACACCAGAAATTTACTTCCATGCTAACAATATCTAATCGGTTGGATACATTGAGAATGCTTAAAATATGCGTTTCTCACTAACCGAATGCAAACTGTTGCTTCAGAGCTGGTTGAGAGAGTTGACCAATTGATTCATTTGCTTTGAATGTCAGACCAGACTTGATGAATCATCGGTGACCAACAGAATGCCGACATACACATACACACACACAAGACTCCATTGGTTCTTACAAACCATTGCTAACTATGGGATAGGCGAGATATCCAACTATCATCTACTAAGGGTCGAGTTTACTATACACTAGTTCGTTCTGTCTGATAACAAAGGCAGATGACATTAGAGGGCTACAGATGTTCGACCAGCATCGTCTCAGAAGCTGTCACCACGACTTAAGCGACACAGAAGTTCTGTGCGAAAGAAGTATTCAACAGAGCTATTGTTCATCACTCTATTGATGATAGTGGATGTGAAATTGAGATGCAGAAATCGCTGAAAATAATTAGAACTTATTGTTTCGCTGAAGTGGTTAGCCATTAAACAATTAACACCGAAGTTATATATTCAGAAATCAACAGTTATCATTCTATGACCTACCATGGTAAAATGTTTATGTGTGGTTGACAGTCACAACATCTTTCCGTATCATTAAGGATTCTTATACATTTATGTTCATTCCATGTCACTTCCTTGACCTCATTGTCTGCATTCGAATCATCTTAATTCATTAGCGTGAACCTATTTGACCTTTTAACACAATATGTAGAACACATTTGTCTCTCACCTCTTTATGTCCAACTTCCGCTGTTTCTATATATACAAACCTACTATTAGTTTTTGTATATTCATTCACTCTATACATGTGTTTTCAATTATGTCATACCAATATGATCTTTTTCGTTATCAAGGCGATAATTTCTTATCAAAGAGACATCACTTGGAGAACCATTGAAAACATGGGAACACTGGACAGCTGGATATACCCGAAATCCCCGCCCCTCAAGGACGAAACTCAGGACCTTCAGGTTTCACAGCGAACGTGTTGACCATCTAGCCATTGGGTCGGAGTACAATGGTTCACAGTTTTTTGCAACTGTCAATTCAATGGTTCTCCAACTGATCAGTCCGTGATGAATCTGCGTAAACCTCAAAATATATTGATATCAAAATTGTTTTACATTGTAAGCAGTTGTTGAGAAACTCCGAAATGAAATGGAATCCCGCTATTCCGTTGCTAAAACTGTAGTTTTTGATCCATTCAAGTCTATCCCGGGAAAGAATTGTAAGGAAGAATTCAGTCCGATGATGAAGTTGTAAACTTCTATCGACTCAGATGTCACTAATATGAGTGAAGCATGACTAGTTAGCATCTTTATTCATGAGCGTAATATTGACCGAATTACATTCGAGTTGAACGTTATAAACTACAGGTAGATAAACTGAAATGTGGTATCAGTTCACAAAGTCTCTGACTGTTCATCTCAACTATGTAGGGAAATGCAGACTTCACTTGACAACCGAAATCAGTGACTGGAGACTCTAGGCGACATCACTTGGAATCGATTGGAGTGACACAGATACATCCACAGATTGTCTTCCACTCAATCATCATATCACATTTGGTTGTTTCACCTTCTATTCTTCTCTTTTTATGACTTTCAGTAAATTTCAGATGAAATTTCTTTTGCAGTGTTCGTAGGTCTCATGTTCATATTAACTAAAAGACTTGAATTGGTTGTAGGTACGAAATAACAATGTCAATCGTATTGTTTCATAGGAATTTCTTATATAGAAAAACAGATTCTTGGAAAACAGATTATATCATTCAATACTCTTCAAGTGAAGATCAGATTGTATGCTGCGCTAAAAAAGACCTAACCAGCAGCCAAGTTAGTCTGTGTGCATCAGACTAAATGTTCATTGGGACAATCCAAAGTTGACAAGATCCCAACTTTTGTAACCTCCAACTGTAGCTGCTAATTCACAACTACGTACCAAAGTACATACATTAGATGAACACGGAGAAGGGTTCTTGTGTGCATTTCCGAACATATCCCAAGGAATTTGAGTCTTAAGGGTTTACAGGATTTGAATAGACCAGTCGCTCAGTAATTACTTGATACTGGACATAAAGTCAATGTATTAAGAATGTTCATTCTATCAGTGTATAAATAACTAACCTCTGAGTAGTCTTAGCTACTTCATCAATCTTGGTCAACCGAAATCTCCACCACCTTCCATGTTAGTCAAAACATACTTGTCGACTTATGAAAGTATTTTGCATAACAATGTCTACTCACGACGCTGTGAACCCACATCGACCGACATGGCTCCAATGTGTACTGTACATGCCAAGTCAGCACTTACCTAAACGTGCCATGCTAGTGGAAGGTGGATTAGGTTCGAAGAAGACTCAGGGTGGTCACACAAAAACGTGGTACCACTCCATCAAGTCTCTGGCTATTCCTGTGAGCCGTGTGTGGCAAGTGTAAATTGTCTCGTTGGGGTCTCACATACCATAGGAATCAGTGGTTGAGTACTAACTATTGGTGAAAACGTTGGAAATCAGTCACAATCGAGCAGATGTATTCATTTCTGGATGTCTTCTAAAGTCTAAATGATACACATTAACCGTTATCTTTAAGTTGCTTATTTTCTCACACTTTTTCTAGACACCTTGTTCTTTGTATATTACTATAGAATGTGTCAACTTGTGCCGATGCACTTGTGTGTGAAGTTCTACTTTGATTCTGCCTATCTGGTATTGCATAACATATTTTTTTTATGACAAACATTTTTTTCTACAGCTGTAAAACAGTCGAGAAGAACCCACGCGACATGTATGCTAGTAACGCTACATCATTTTTCTTTCTAACCTCGCCTAGTTAACTAGTTCACTAGTTACTAACCGGTCCTAAACCCCAATAAAGAGAGAAGGTTGGGCGTGGGGCTAGCAACCCTACCCCAGAAAATCAATTCAATCGCAAAAGAAACTTCAAAGCACAAAGAAAATATAAAAATAAAAACCAACTTATTCCTCACTGGAGTTTGAGGGACGAAATGACACCGGTTGGTAAAAGCTTTCGGGAAACCAATTGGCCGATGAGCCCTTGCTTCTCTTGGTGAGAGTGAAAGTAAACATAGGGACATGGAATGTCCGCACTATGTTTGAACCTACCAAGGCTACCCGGATTGCAAAAGAGATGAGAAGATATAGCATAGAAGTGTTAGCAGATGGAATGGAAGTGGACTCTCCAAACTTTCAACTGGAGAGTCAATAATCTACTCCGATATTATCACCCAGAGGACAACCACGAGCACACTCACAAAGTGGTTATCATGATGTCTCCAAAGTCATTGAAGCCTCTAATACAGTAGGACCCAATCTCCTCCAGGATCAGGATCATGACAGCAAGATGAATTCAACCGAAATGGCAGCAAAGTCACAATCATACAATGCTACGCGCCAACAAATAATGCAGATCAAGAGAAGAAGGAAAAATTCTACAGACAACTGCAATCAGTACTAGACAAGACTCCAGTTAGCGACATCAAAATTCTAATGGGCGACATGAATGTCAAGCTGCGAACAGACAACACAGGAAGAGCACTTATCATGAGTTGAGAAGCGCTCGGTGAAATGAACGAGGATGAAGAACTGTTTGCAGACTTTTGCGTATTTAATGATTTGGTGATTGGAGGCAGTGTGTACAAACACAGGGGTATTCACAAAGCAAGCGACATAAATTTCACCAGACACCAGGACATACCACATTAAAAATCAGATCGACTTCATCTCAATCTCACGAAAGTGGAGACACAAGCCTACTTGACAAAAGACCAAGAAGAGGAGCAGATGTAGGTTCAGACCACTCACTGTCTAGTGCAAGGAACCTTCCAAATCAATTTGAAAGCCTTCAAGGAAGTTGGTGATAGACCACAGTTCAAGTACAACACTCGGAAACTGAAGGACAAAACTACAAAGGAAATCTTCACGGCAGCCATCAGGACAAAATAGGAGATATTGAGCAACATTCCTGAAGAAATCCGCGTAGAAGAACACTGGAAGTCTTTGAAAGAGATGTGGAAGGAAACCTGCATAACCGTGTTAGGAAGAAAGAAGAAGCAAGACAAGGAATGGATCTCGATGGATGCACGGAAGCTGATAGAGAAGGGAGAGGAAGATGGTTAAGCAGAAGATAAACCAGTGCATTGACAAACAACGAAAAAAGGGATTGAATACAAAGAAGTGAAGAAGAGTGCGCGGAAAAACAAAAGATACTTCTAAGACACATTGGCAAGTAAAGCATAACAGGCTGTTGGTAGGAGAGACTTAACAACACTATATCAAATAACCAAAATACTATCTGGAAAGAGATCAAAACAGATTAAACCAATGAAAGATAGTGAAGGAAACCTAGTTACCAAAGAGGCGAAACAAAGGAAATGATGGGCTCACCACTTCAGAAAACTACTGAACTGACCACCCCTTGCAACTCATCCAGAAATATCACCAGCAACTGAAGAATTACCGGTGGACCCAAGCCCTCCATCAAAAGCACAAGTGGAGTCCTGAACGCCAACAAAGTAGCTGAGATCGGGGAAGCAGTAAGGTGAGATGGAATTTCTCCAGAAGCACTGAAAACAGACACAGAGACAACAACGGAGATCCTCACACCGATACTGTACAAGGTTGAAGTGAAGGAAAGATACCTGCCGATTGATTGGAAGAAGGACTACCATGTCTAACTCCCAAACAGCGGAGACCTAAGTCTTTCCAAGAAATGGAGAGGAATCATGCTCCTGGATCTGTCACCCCAAGCAAAATATTAAGCCGCATCATACTGGAGAGACTAAAATATGCTCTGCATTCAGAATTACAACTGGAACAGGCTGCATTCAGGAAGTACAAATCATGCGCGGATCAAATTGCCACAGTAAACATCATCACAGAACAGAGCATAGAATGGTAGTCAACTCTCCACCTCAACTTCATCCATTTTGAAAAGAAATCTTATAAATCGAAAAAACCAAAGGTGTACGCACAAGGGAAATGGGGGGAAAAATTGTGCGTGAAAAAGACTGACAAAGAAAAAATTTTTTTTGCTTGATTCAAACTTTTGAAAAAGAATTGTATGAAGATCAAATTTTATCCACCAGTTTTCGAATGTTTCCCGTAGACCAGATACTTTATTTGATGGCAGGTTTAGTGAGGTCTTTGGGTGATTTAAGTTTAGTTGCCGTCTGTGGAAGGGGGGGGCGACAATGATTCCGCATGGAACGTAGTTATAAGGCTCTCTATTGATCGCATCATTTCAGATGGAACTGTCTAAACATTGAAACAATGACGATAAAACATCATGGATACGCAGCAGTATAGAGGTATCCGCATACCAGCCCATTTGCCAACAGAGGTCAAGCAATTCGACCTGACATAGCAACGGGTAATTACAAGTATCAAACAACAACGACAATAAATGATACCCATTGCATAAATGGTGTCTCTCGCACCCCCCCCCCTCGCTACTGGGTCCGAGTCTCAATGGAAAAATATTGTTCACATGGGTGCAGATACACTCAGCTGACGAGTCTCAAATAGGATGAAACAGGCGTCCTGCACCGCATTACTAATCAACAAATAAACTGCAATATAGTGGATTTTCGTGCAGTATTGAGGCATCTGCATAGACTCCCATCTGCCACAAACAGAGGTCAAGCAATTGAACCTTGTATGGCATAGGGAAAATTACAATTTTTCTCCCCCCCCCCTTCCCCTAGTAAAAACCAATGAACGTATGGATGAACTTATCGTATACAGCTAGATATCTGAAAATTAAAGGAACTATCAATACACATACACTGCATATATCAGTGTACAAAAAAACATAGGCGAGAGACTTTGTAATTGAAAAAGTTATGCATATATATATATAGGTAGAAGCGCTCATTAGCGATTTGTAAAGACAGTATTGATAGACGACATAGTTTGGAAAAAGTAATAGAATATTCTCTGAGTTTTTTTTAAAAAAATACATCGTTTCAAGTGTGCTGAAATGCCAATACTAACTACTACTACTACAGATAGTAATGATAACAATACTGATCATTATCACTGTTATTTATTATTATAATGAAATGTTCACACACACAAACGCAAAATAATTGTGATTTCATTATTGTAGAATCACATGCTTTCAATAATTAGTTAATTAACTGCATAAATCATCTTGAAATGAGAAAATGTAAGGCAAAATGGACATCTTATATTAATGAACGATAGTGGTTAGCAGTGGAATCTAAGACGCGCGTTTCATCTTGTTTAGGACTCGGCAGCTGGGTGTACCTGCCTCTCAGTGAGAGATGTTGTTTCCACTAAGACTCATTCAGCTAGGACGAGACACGCATCAAGCTGGATTTCACTGCTAGCCATTATCCATTGTTACTATATCATTCAAACACAGGCGATAACGAGGCATCCGCCCAAGATCCCATATGTTAATAGAGACCGACAAATTCCGTCCAAGCAACAACGGGATAATACAAGTAACTATTAAATAGTGTCTTTAAAATATTAGTAATATGCTGTGATAAGACTCATCAACTAAGTGATATATCATGATGATGAGGACAAGAAAAGTGAAATCAAGCTTACCCGATGATTTGTAAGGGGATTAGGACATCGTGGTACAGTAGTATCTGCATTCAAACTGGAGGGTGTATCATGATTGATTGACTGTGAACATGAACTCTTTGCTCCACCAGTAACTGTATGAGCTAGTCTTGCAAAGCTATCAGATCCACAGGGCGAAGATGATGATGATAGTGATGAAGGAGGGTAGGATGGTTGATGCAGAACATCTTGGCTCTGTTGATGGGCAGCCGCAGCGGCAGCTGCTGCTGCAGCCACAGCCGCTGCAGCTGCCGCATACGGAGAAGCAGTGGCGGCGAACGATGGAGAACCGGTAACAAAAGGCAGAGGAAAGACTGAAAAACAAACATTTCGAGATATTAATTAATAGAATGTTCATTTGAAATACAAATATGAAGTAAACAAACTATGAAGTCGATGTGCGAAATACTTTTACATGACTGACGATCAACCATTGAAAGTGGTTGAAATGTATGTGTATGAGTAGCTATGTTAGTGCCGGTTGAGGCATGACTGATCAGATTTCTGACCGTAGACAATAGATCAGAGTGGCATACGCCAATCTATTTCACCTTTGGTATCGTCATAACGTGGTCGATTGCTTTGAGAATTCGGCTTCCAAGCAATAGGTTAAGCAGGTAGTATTATAAGCCCTTACACATGTGGCTCTTAGTTTAGCAATTAAAGCATGTGCGTGGATTGAGTGGCGCTAAATTTTAACTTGAATCGTTGTGACGTTAGCCTGTCTGTAGAATGTCAGATATACAAAGTATCGCCGTAGAAAGTTTCGTCCTTCATCAGTGAAGCCCGACCTATATCCAAGCTTAACGTGTCCGAAGACTCCAAATAATCAATCACCGTTATCAACACAGGATTTCCAGCACTGTGTTGAAGCATTATTTAGGTAATTCATACGTCCAGTGCTGGCGCGTGTATTCAATCTCGACGCAGATTGTCATTCATTGAGTGAAGTCACCACAAAACATGCCATCTCACCAGCTCTTACACCATTCACTGTTTGCTAGCCTCAACACTGTTCACACGGTGACTTCACCTGACGCTAGCAATGCTACCAAGACAACTATGATCAAAACCGTTTAATCGCTGTATACCTTCCACGTTTAATGGCACTATCTCACAGCAGTATAAGAGGACAGAACGGACTCCAGTGCAGTGCACTTGTCTTTTGACGGGTAGTCGGATATCTCGCCAGTTGGTGCCACGAGATGAAAAATACCAAACAAGCCTTCTGTATTTGAGCTGAGATTTCGTCATTAACTAACCCATTCGGGTCAATGCAACCCCCTAAGTAGGTGACTTGATCCACCACTTTACTACCCATCATTGAACTGAGACCAGTTGCAGACGAGTCCTGGAGCATCATCTTACATTTGACAGGTACTAGATGCATGCTAAATATACTCAGATTTCTGATCAACGCGTTCACAAGACATAGCACTTTGTCAGTGTCTTCACCCAGCAAGACAATATAGTCCGCATACTTTAAGTTAACCAGATAACCTCCGGGGAGCAGATCAATCCATGTGAAGTCAGGTGTACCTGAGGTTATGTCCATAAGTACGTCTATAACGAGGCTAAATAGAACAGTGATGGCGGGCATTCCTGGTGGACATCACTAGTTGTCGTCTATGCAAATGACAACTCTTTATTAGCCCTTACACGGTTGAGTGAGTTCCAATCGAGAGCATCGACTGGCGTTATATACTTGGTCGATACTCCCTTCACAGTCAGAAACAGCCACAACACCTCACAGTCGACAGATTCAGGTCACGAAATATGGAATGGGAAGAACGATAGTTGTGTCCAAGTTAGCATCTGCTGTTAGATCCTCACAACTCATCGGACGAGGGTAAGAAAGACCACTCACTACAATGGTTTGAGACGATGACAAACACTGCTCAGAAACGAAACCAGTGACAATAATGTTTCAGCTTTCTTGTTTCTTCGATTATTGACAGGCAAAATGAAAGTGGTTAATGCTTCCTTAAATGTAAGGAACTACTTTACCTATCATTCGTTCTATCCTTTCTTTTTTGTTTCTCTTTTCAATGTTTTAATTACTACTAATTACTTTGTGCGGCAAATTTACCGGAACTTAGTTTATGCCGAGTTTTGTGTTTTAAATAATATATAAAAAGATTAAGTAAAGTGAAAATTCATCGGAATTGTTTTTCCCGACATCGGAGCTTGACAACGCTGAATATAAAACTGTGGAAATATGAAATAATCAATATTAACAATTGTTATATGTCTAAGTATACGGTTTGATCGATCGTTCTGGTCTTAACTCTAGTTTGGGTTTCAGCTCTATGACTTACAGACCGAGGGAAATACCCAACGCTGGTCTCCACTGATATTATCACCCGAGTTACTACGTGCAAGTAAGTCCAGTAGCCACTTATGTCACACCCTCACACCGGTTGACCACTCAGAGAGAAAATGAATTTAGATGGCTAGCCACCACACAATTATTCGTATTCAATAAAATATATGGGAAGTGTAGGCGGCCTAATTAGAATGTCAGAGAATGAGAACAAAGATAGAAACATGAAGGATATTCATAATCGATTAGTTGTGGTTCTCTTTCTTTTTGGTTACAGATACAACAATAAACTTACAACGTAAGACCGCATATACAATTGCGATACATCCTGGTCAAAGAATTAACCAATTTCGGATAAATTAAAAAGCTCAAAAGGGAGAAAGGAAGAATGAAAACATGGTGAGATTTGGTATAGCGTCATTAAGATGAGGATAATGTGTGTATACGTCTGCACCACTGACATCGGTTCCCAGACATATCACCTAGAGTTTCCAATCACTGGTTCCTCTTGTCCCATGGACCCTAACTGGCTAGTCTGCATCGCCCCACATGCTCAAAATAAACAGTAAAAGACTTCATACATTGGTACCATGTTTTGGTCTGTTCGCCTCAAGCTTTCTTTCCAGCCTGAAGGTACTTTGGCGAAGATTGTGTGGTGAGGCAGACGGTAACTAGGCATACGTGACACATGTCCCAACCACTTCAGTGGATGAAGTTTGACAAGCGTGTCAAGTGATTTACCTCTCCTGCCTAAAACTCTACACGTGACTTTTGAGTTACGTGTAGACACCACGGCCTATAGTACGAGGGCATTGGTAGTTAAACACTTGAAGCCAGAGAGCACGAACAAAAACCAGTCTCCAGTGCATAAGAACTTTTAAATCTGGTATTGCATGTCGAGGAAGATGGCGGCTCGGCATGAGCAGTACATTTCCAAGAAACCTCATTTGCTGAAGATGCACAACCTCATAGCCTCACTTGCCTTCTTTGCCTCATCTCAACATTGCTCTCATGATGACGCCACTAAACGCGAGGAAAATTGCCAAGACCTTGATAAATGAACAAGGTTTGATTCAATGACTTATTTAGTTGAGAAATGGATGCTAAGACCAAAAGAATATAGATCCCCAATTTAGTTCAAAATATACAAAACTGTTAAATATCCTCATTTGCAAGCTATAAATCTGATGAAGTGAGAATTATAAAATATCTTCAGAAAAAGAAAATTATACTAATGACGATGATAATGATACACTATTGCGCTGAAGTAACGAAAAGGATATACAGGAGAATAAGGCGAAGCGGAGAGAGAAGAAGAAAGCGTTAAAAAAAACAGTAGCGATAAAAAGAAAGCCATCCTATGATTATTAACAAACTATATGAAACTGACAAGAAATTACTACCGACGCATATTTAATGCATACTGTCTCATTCTCTTTCCTCTCTCTCTCTCCATATATATATATATATATATATATATATATATATATATATATATATATATATATATAATATAAGAGGTAGATGATGAAAGGCGAATAAACGGGGCGAAAAAGCTATTATCACGAGAAATACGGGCAAAAAAGGTAGGCACAGGACGTATGAGAGGAGGAGGATTAAACGGAGGAAGGAAAAGAAAGAGAGCGAGAGAGAGGCAGCGAAGAGGGAAATCTCAGCAGCAAATTAATACAACAGTAGCAATAGTAGTAGTAGTAGTAGTAAGCATAAGAATATAAATAATGAAAATAATTTATCATACAACTTATTATTACTGATGACAACTGTAAAAGGAAAGAAAAAGTAGGAACTTCGCCTACTTTTCCCGTCTTCTCTACTCCATTGAAAGACAATATATCATTACTGTTATTATTATCATTATTACGACTATTATAGTGATAATCTCATTGTAAAAGCAGCAATCATTTTTGAAATCAATAAGAACAATTTTTAATAAGGGGCAAATAAATTTTGAATATAAACTATTATTAAGAATTAGAATAAGTCGTTAATAACACATTATTAATTATGAAATAAGTTTAACTGCCTACATCACTTGTTTCTATGCAATAGAACAGGCTAGGCTATTGCCTTATCTGATGAAGTAGACTTAAGTCAAACCGGATGTATCAGAGGTGAACAACACCATCACGTGATGAATTGAAGTGCTACTCAAATTTCAACAACAATTCTATGTGTCATAACATAGAAATATAGATAAAATAAACGCAGAATCTAACAAGTATATCACTTCAATTTGCCACATTTCGTAGTAGAATACAAAGAATAAGTGGATAGAAAAAGACTAATGTCAAAGTAGACGAAGGTAAGAGAGGGAATATGAAAATGAAGGCTAGTCGAAACCTTTCCCTGTTGTGATCGATTTTCAACCATGTCACCAAGAGTTCTCAGCCACTAATTCTTTGCGTCTAAGCGATTTCAAACCAGACGCTCAACATCTTCCCACACAGATCAGACCATAAGTCAAAGACTTCATCAACTGCCCACTCTGAATCCTATTCCAAGTTCAAGATGCCCAGTATATGTCCAAGCAAAACCATAAACTCAGTGACCAACATGCCTGTCTTACCTAGCACCCTTCACTGGACCTCGACATTGCTCACACGGTGATTCTACTACACGTGGGCGATGATAGTTGCAGTCAAAAAAAAAATTGTAGTCCCTTTATATCTTCAACTCTCAAAAGCTGTTGCACAGCCGTACAACAAGACAGAACGGTCGTACCGAAGCACACGTGTCCTTTGATACATAAGTCGGATAACTCGTTAGTTGGGGCTACAATGACACCATTCGGCGAATGCTAAAAGGGCATCATCATCATCAATATAGCACCAGGCATTACTAGGTAACAGTCCCAGTTGCCACACCACATATCAGCATATCAAGTAAAAAGGCAGTGTACTGCAAGATGAAGATAAAAAAATTCAGTCAAAACAAACATAAGTACCAAAAGGGAGGAAGAAAGAATGAGGC